ATTTCAGACGTGCACCTCTTAGAAAGACACTCAACAATAGATGCTTTAATCAGACAGAAAGCTAAACTGTGCCCTTCCCGGCTTTGGGCTTCAAGCTGGTCCCAGGTCTGGTTCCAACCGGCTCACTCACCCTGGCCCTCCCTTCTAATTTCATCTCCTGTGGTCCTCACAGTGATGGTCAGAGGGAAGAACAGATATTTTTAGTTACTTTCTTTTTTTGAGACAAAGAGTTACTCTGTAGCCCAGGCTGGCCTCAAGCTCCCAGCAATGCTCCTGCCTCTGCTTCCCGAATGGTAGCACCGCAGGCATCCGATGACATTCCAGCCACGCTTTCAGTGCAGCAAAGGACGGGTAAGCACAAGGGGCATTGCGTCTGTCCTCACTGTGTGCAGCCCCTGCAGCCCCCTTTTGAGCCATCACAGCTCCCCGCCCTGGACCCTGAATAAGCTCGACCAGAGCGCTGCCAATGAGCTACACCCATCTTTAAAAAAGAATGCTTTTTTTTTTTTTTTTTTTTTTTTTTTGGTTTTTCAAGACAGGGTTTCTCTGTGGTTTTGGAGCCTGTCCTGGAACTAGCTCTGTAGACCAGGCTGGTCTCGAACTCACAGAGATCCGCCTGCCTCTGCCTCCCGAGTGCTGGGATTAAAGGCATGCGCCACCATCGCCCGGCTAAGAATGCTTTTTTTAACCTAAAAATATTTATTTTATTTTATGCATATCTTGCCTGCATATGTGTGTGTACCACACGTGTGACTGGTGCCTAGGGAGGTCTGAAAGGGTCTCAGATCCCCTACTGTTAACGGTTGGAGCTGCCATGTGGGTGCTGGGAATCGAACTCTGGTCTTCTAGAAGAGCCTCCAGTGCTCATAACCACTGAGCCATCTATCCAGCGCCACCTTTTAAACTCTTTATGTTGAGGTGAGATCTCACTAAATCGGCTCAGGCAGGCCTTGGACTTGTAAGCCTCCTGCTTCAGGCTTCAGGTGCTGGGGTGACTGCTGTCATAGTGACAGACAATTTGCTCTCTTGTTTACTGGTGTCTTTTTTTAAGATTTCTTTCACTTTTATTTATGTATGTGTATGTGTTTCTCTGATGCCCACACATGTGCAGGTACCAGAAGAGGCCAGAAGGGGGCACTGGATCCCCTGGAGCACAGGTTCTTGTAAGCTGTCCGGTGTGGGTGCTGGGAACTGAACTCAGGTCCCCAAAGAGCAGCAGGCACTGTCAACTCCTGAGCCATCTTTCCAGCTCCCCGTTTGCCCTTTTAGAGGTTAAATGAAAATTTAAAAATATTCACAGAGTAGTGTAGCCATTGCCACGATTGGTTTTAGAACATTTTTGTTACCCACAAAAGACCATATTCAGAGCTGAGTGTGATGGCACAAGCCTGCAATCCTGGCACTTGGGAATCTGAGGCAGGAGGATTGCTCTGAGTTGGAGGCCAGCCTGAACTGTATAAACAAAAAGGCCTTAGAGTCATGGCAGTTTTCACAAGTCTTTTCCTTTCGAGTCCCAGGCACCCCCTTTGTCTCTACAGACCTGTGTATTCAGGGTGTTTCAGGGTTCATCCGTGTTTGAGTGTGCACCCTTTTTCTCTCCTGGCTCTGCTACATCTCCATCCATCCATCCCGTCTTCTGACCATTTACTTTGGGTGATGGTTCATCTTCACGGTCAGCTTGTCTGGGTTAAAGTGATCGTGGAACACACCTCTGAGAGTGACTGAGGACGGTGTTTCCAGGAAGGGCTCGGTGAGGAGGGATACACCCTGAAAGTGAACCCTCTCGTGAGCTGGTTCTGGACGGAAAGAGGAAGAGAAACCGAGCAGAGCATCGGAAAGCCTCTGCTTCCTGACTACAGACAGACATGGCACAACCACCCACCTCATGCCCCTGCCACCGGCCTTCCCGGCCTTGATGGACTGTATGGCATCCACATCTTCGTAACCGTGAAAGAATGCTGCTCTGGGCGTCTGACAGACTTTGAGTGAAATGTTTTTGCTTCTGTTGGGAGGGGGAGTGACATTTCTAGGTCATTTTAGGTCACATGGTAATTCCAGGTTCAGCTTTTTGAGGAAATACTAGTTTTTAGGGTTCACTACTTAGCATTCCCATCAGCAATGTGGGATGTCCTCCTTTTCCCCACTCCTGGTCTCAGAATGTAGCCCAGGCTGGCCTGTGACTTGTGATCCTCCCTAGTTCAGTCTCCCAAGTGGCTGGATGGTAGGCACCATCATAATGTTCAACTTGTCCATTTGTAAATTAATACATTTGAGCCAGGTAACACACACCTGTAATCTCAGCACTTGAGAGGTAGAGGCAGGAGGATGAGAAGTTCAAAGGCAGACTTGTTCAAGGCTATCCTGGGCTACTTGAGACCCATTCTCAAAAACAAACAAACAATAAATAGATAAACAGAGGTATTTGTATTTTTTATTCAATTGTAAGGATTCATTCTTATTTCCTTCCTTCTTTCCTTCCTTCTTTCTCTCCTCCCTCCCTCCTCTCTCTCTCTCTTTCTGTCTTTCTTTCCTCCCTTCTTTCTTTATTATTTTTGCCTGTGAGTGTGTGTACCAGCACCTGTACACGCATGCAGTGCCCAGAAGAGGGCTGGAGTTACATACGGGTGTGAGCAGAAACATGTGGGTCTGGGAACCAAGTCTAGGTCTTCTGCAAAAGCAGTAAGTGTCTTTGACTACTGAGGGCGTGGCCTGTGGGGTGATGTCGGGTCTGTGCCTTTCCAATTGCCTCAGCACTAACATGCTTGTTTTATTTTCTGTCTCTAGAGTTTTCTTTTGAGACAGAATATGGCTCTGCCACTCTGTGTGGCCTAGAACTCACTGTGTAGCCCAGACTGACCTCAAGCTTGCAGCGATCCTCCTGCCTCTGACTCTTGAATACCGGGATTGCAGATGTGAGCTGCCCTTTAAGGAGCACCTCTGACATAAATAAGGTCCCACCCTTGTCTCTCCTTGTCATTGTCTTCCCAGTTGCTCGATGTTACACACGTGAACCATGCTCAGTAGCAGCAGCGACTGAACACACACAGGCGTGCTGGACACTCAGCAAAGTAAAGCAGCTGAGTGGGCCAGGCAGTTGGAAAGCATCCCAGATGGCCCAGACGGGTCTACCTTTCTCTGGAGATAAGGTCTCACATGGCCCAGGCTGGCTTCAGACTCCTTATGTATCTGATGATGATTCTGAACCCCCAATCCTCCTGCCTCTACCTCCTAGGTGCTGGCATTACAGATGTGCACCACCATGCCCTCCCAGGTGCTGGCATTACAGATGTACAATCACCATGCCCCCCCAGCTGCTGGCATTACAGATGTGCAATCACCATGCCCCCCCCAGCTGCTGGCATTACAGATGTGCACCACCATGCCCTCCCAGGTGCTGGCATTACAGATGTGCAATCACCATGCCCCCCCAGCTGCTGGCATTACAGATGTGCAATCACCATGCTCCCCCAGCTGCTGGCATTACAGATGTGCACCACCATGCCCTCCCAGGTGCTGGCATTACAGACGTGCACCACCATGCCCTCCCAGGTGCTGGCATTACAGATGTGCACCACCATGCCCTCCCAGGAGCTGGCATTACAGATGTGCACCACCATGCTCACCCAGGTGCTGGCATTACAGATGTGTACCACCATGCCCCTCCCAGGTGCTGGCATTACAGATGTGCACCACCATGTCCTCCCAGGTGTGGTACCAGGGCTCCCTGCATCCCAACTGCACACTCCACCTACTGAGTGTCCCCAGCCCTGGTCCTCATTCACTTTGACCCAAAGCTCTTTTACATCTAAGTCTCAGATGCTTTCTTAGGTCACCAAAAACTCTTTGCCGCAGGCTCCAGATCTCCCTGCAACTCTGCCTTCTGTGACTTGATGTACCAGGACAGAGATTCCCTCTTGGTGAGCAAGGAAAGTTCTGACCTTTCTGAGTCCTCCTCCCCAACCGCAGCCCGTGAGACGAAGCTTTGGCTTCCTTGTATGGTGTTCTGTTGCTGGAAGGTTCTCCTGGGTGTCTGACCCGAGACGCAGTGCTCTCCAGAGCATGCCAGAAATCCGTGTGCTGCTTGTTACCCATGACAGGCCTTGGTTCGATGCTGGGCATTCAGGGAATGCAGACAGCTTTTAGTGCTCCGCCTGGCAGGAATCAAGGCCTTGGGCAAGCCAACACCCTGCCCCTGCCTGTGGCATGGTGTCCCTTTTTGGACATAGTTTCTCCTTCTGTGTATCACCCCCAAGAAGAGTGAAGCCAGGCCACATCAACCACAACTGCAAACAGTCTAAACTGGACCTGTGGCATAAGTCTATAATTTCAACACTGGGGAGGTGGAGGCGGGAGGATGGCTCCAGGGCTCTGTGTTGTGGTGTGTCTGTGTGTCTGTGTGCATGTGTGTGTGCGTGCATGCATGCGTGTGTGTGTGTCTGTGTGCATGTGTGTGCGTGCGTGCGTGCACGTGTGTGTCTGTGTGCATGTGTGTGCGTGCGTGTGTGCACGTGTGTGCGCACGTATGTGTGCACGTGTGTGCATGTGCATGCGTGTGTGTGTCCAGGATCAAGTGGAGCACAAAGGACAACCGTGGGAGGTAGTTCTCGTCTCCCATCATACGTGTGCTGAGGACTGAACTGAGGTCATCAGACTTGGTACCAGGCGCCTCCACCTGTTGAGTCATGGAGCCAGGGGAAAGAAGTGTTTCATGAATTCTACTTCTTAGAAGGAAGATGAGGGAACAACCTTGGAAGAAAAAGTTTGTGCATAGAAAATGAAAAGTAGGCACGGTAACTCATGCCAGTAATCCCAACACTCAGGTGGTAGAGGATCCCGCCTTTAAAAAACACACATCTCTGCATCTTAAAGAGATCTCTGCCACCGTGCCAGGACCAAGGTCAGACTCTTCTGTTAGCCTTTTTGGAATGTAGTTACTTACAGTCCAGGTAGCTTAGACAGGGCTGGGCGCTCACAGCGCCTGAACTATCTGATTAGTCTTTGCTGTCTTCCTCAACAATCCTACAAGCGGTTCCATCAACCCGATTTGGCAGAGAAGGCAACTGGAATCTGCCTAAAGTCTCGGTTATTCAAGCTAGAGCTTTCCTGTGTCCTCAAAGTTCACGTGTGTGCACATGTGTGTGTGTGTGCATGCACACGCATGTGTACATGTAGTGGTGGAGGTCAGAGGTCAATTCAGGTGTGAGACAGGGTCTCTCATGGGGACCCAGGGCTCACAGATTAGGCGAGGCTGCCTGGCCAGCAAGCCCAAAGGATCCTTTTGTCTTTATCTTCCCAGAGCTTGGGTTAAAGGCGCATGCTTCTCACACCTGGCCGGGCTGTTTCTGTGGGAGCTGGGATTGAACCGTGGTCCTCATGCTTGTGAGGCAAGCACTTTACTGAATGTATCAGCTCCCCAGCCTGAAGTTCACGCAGCAGGGCACGATGACTCTTCCCCCTCTTTACTTCCAGGGGGGTTGTTACTTATTTTGCCAAGCGGGAGCCAGCTCAGACTAGCTGGTCGGTGGATGTTTATACAATAGGGATTGGTAACCTCTATGAATCAGGGGTCTCCATCTCCCCCACAGGATGAGGTCTTCTCTGTGACTGTAAAAACACCAACAGAGCCTTGACCCCGATGAGCACGGGGCCGCCCAGGGTCCACACCTGGTGGTCACACAGGGCTAGTTGCAGACCACACTAGGGTAGACACATCTGTTTGGAGAGGAGGAGGGTGTGCACAGGAGAGAGCAGGGGACTGTAGTACCGGCTCTTTACACAAGAACAAAGGGCCAGGGTTTTAGTCATGGGAACTTCCTGGGGAGGCATTGAACCTTGTCATTACGTCGGCCTTTCAAAACAGAGGAGCTATTCTGGAACAACTAAGGTGGCCTGTGTTGGGAGTGAAGGGGGATGCACAACACAGGGGAGGGGTGACCTCCTCTTCTGAGGAGTGACTGTGACTTCCAGGCTGAGGTCTGGACGTGGGAGCAGTTTGTGAATCAGAGTCTCCACCCAGGACCACACTCGGGGTCCTTTCTGCCGGCTAGATGGTGCCCCGCGGTGATGGACGGTCAGGTGATGTCTTACAGTGACTGGATGACCAGGTGGTGCCCTGCAGTGACTGGGTGGTCAGGAGGTGCCCCGCAATGATAGAACCCCTAGAACATCAGAGGCCACAGGAGCACCTAGATCTCTGAACCTGCTTTGGGTTGTCATCACTGGGAGACCACAGGCAGGCAAATCCTGGGTCAGTTTAGATGTTGTTCAGAAGGGGTGACCCCAGGGAGTATCTCTATGTGGAGGGCAAGCCAGGTGTGAACTGTGATAGGGCTCCAGAGGTTTTCTTGACCTTTGTTTTAATAAAATGATTGCTGGGCGGTGGTGGTGCAAACCTTTAATTCTAGCACTTGGAAGGCAGAGGTGGGCAGATCTCTGTGAGTCTGAGGCCAGCCTGGTCTATAGAGTGAGTTCCAGGACAGCCAGGGCTACGCTGAGAAATCTTGCCAAAATAAATAAATAAAAATTTAAAACTCCAGCTTTCTGATGAGTATAACTATTTAACATGTAAATGTTCTCTTTCCTTACCGTTTTGTGTGAGTGCGTGTGGGCGCCACAGCGCATGCAGAGGGGTTGGAGGGCGGCTTCTGGGACTGATTCTCCCACTTTACCGTGTGGGATCCAGGGACTGAATTTGGGTTTTCTGACCTGGCAGCAGGCACTTCTACCTAATGAGTGGCCCTTGCTTTTGTTTTGAGACAGGCTCTTGCTATGTGGCCCAGGCCGGCCTGAAACTTCTGGGCGATTCTCCTTCCTCTGCCTTCCGAGTGCTGAGATCACAGGTGTGTGCCGCCAGGCCTGTTTCTCCTGTCTCCCTGTGCAGAGCTGATTCACAGGCACCGGGAACATCTAAGCAGTGTGATCGTGATCCTCGAGGCTCAGAAGGAAAGCGAAAGTGAAGGATTAACAATAAGTAAGGGGTGATATGGTTCATGGGTCACCCCCTTTTATCTTCTGCCCATGGCAAGGCAGGAACTGCTGTTTCTTGCTCCTGGCAGACCCTCCCAGCTGCCATGACACCCCCCCCCCCCGCCCACTGCCCCATGGACTGGGGTAGATGATGACAGAGGAGCTCCCAGCCCTGCAGCCTCCAGATCTCCTTCCCAGGCGCCTCCACTCCTGTTCCCAGATGTATGACCTCTGGATACAGCATATAAGAAAGAGCCACCCCTGGCTCCAGGTCATCCCCACACAGTAGGAAGCAGAGCGGGGTGTGGTCATCTATTGCAGGGTTGCTGACCCTTGAGATGGTATCAAGTGGTCCTGGGATCAGACAGGGTGCCAGGGCTGTAAGCTGAGGTGACGTTCCCCCTGCAGGGCAGCTCCAGCAGTGGTGGGCAGAGGTGGGCAGGGACAGAGCTCTCTGGGGAGGATAGCGTGCTGTTAATCTACCCTGGTAGACAGATGCTGATAAGGAGCCTGGTATCTCCGCACTCCACTCCAGCACCACCCCACACCCATCTTATCTGCTCGCCCAACCAAGGCCAACTAAGATTTTCTTGGGTGCCAAGTGCCACAAGAGACACCGAAGATGGCAGTGAACAGCACTCTATTGTATGGCCCTTTGGAGGTCCCAGGAAGGTGAAAGACTTTGAACGCCTAGTTGGTGTGCAGAAAGAGCTACAAAGGAGCGTGTGGGGTCTTTAAGGAGGCTCAAGTTTTGTTCTGGTGACAACAATGACATTCAAGATGACATCACCCAGGTAAGTGGAGGAGCGAGGGCACACGCAGCTAAGGCCCTGTCGTGTGCAGCTGAAAGGATAAGGGAGTCTAAGTGAAGTGTGTGAGTGTCTATGAGTGTGTGCGGTTGTGTGTGGACTTGTGTGTTTGTGAATGAGTGGGTGTGGCTGTTGTCTTTGTATGAATGTTGTGTATGAGCATGTGTGCATAAGTATGTAATGTGTTGAAGCTAAATTTATTTTGGGTTATTTTCTGCGTATGAGTGTTTTGTCTGTAGGTGTGTATAAGCGCCACATTTATGCAGTGCCAGATGAGGCCAGAAGAGGGAGTTAGACCCCTGGAACTGGAGTCATAGATGCTTGTGAGTCACCATGTGGGTGTTGGGAATGGAACCCAGGTCCTTGGCAAGAGCAACAGGTACTCTCTTTTTCAAGTTGTTTGTTCGTTTGTTTATGCATTTTTTAGACAGGGTCTCTCTAGGTAGCCCTGGCTGTCCTGCAACTCATGTAGATCAGGCTGGCTTTCAAACTCACAGAGTTGCCAGAGACCCGCCTGCCTCTGCCTCCTCTGTGCTGGACTAAAGGCGTGCACCACCAAGCCCAGTGCACAGAATGCACTTAAAATCCAAGGCACCTGTCTGGGCCCCAGTTGTCCCGCAGTTGACTGCTTCCCTTTCCCCCAGGTATGCTGCAGTTAAATGTTCCCCTTTCCCCCAGGTGTGCTGCAATAAATTTGTTCCCCTTCACCGCTCAAGCGCAGCTTCACAAACCCTCTGTGTTCTTTGTGGCCCCTGTGTAATGAGGGTGTGTAAGGAGACGCACTTCACTAGAATAACTCACCTGGCAAGCTCTGACACAGACAGGGTTTGACCGGGAGTTGGCACTTACGTCACTTACCGTGGAAAGCCTCCCCTTCCCAAGCCTCTGCTCTCTCTAAATGCTAAATGCTGCTTCCTGCGATGAAAGGAGATAGATGTATGGACCGTGCCTCAGCGACTCGCCTGGCTATTGTGAGCAAGGCCCTGGAACACAGTGTTCAGAATATTAGTTACAGCCACTATTATTTATGTCATCAAATTTGAATACCAAATGACTTTGATAGGTACAAGGGAGGACACACGTATGATAAATCTGGATGTTGCTAAACAGAGGACACTAGTAAATCAAGAAAGAAGGGAACAGAGGCCGTGTGTGCAGCTAGTCAGAGACAGGCTCTGGCGAAATGAACCTCGAGCCTGCTCCTGAGTTCAGCCTCTCAACTCCACCATGCGTGTGTGCGTGCATGTGTGCACGCATGTGCGTGTGCATGTGTGTACGTGCACGTGTGTGCATGTGCATGCATGCGTGTGTGCATGCATGTGTGTGCGTGCACGTGTGCATGCATATAAGTGTGCACATAGGTGCATGCGTGTGTGTGCATGCGCGTGTGTGTTCACACGTGTGTGTGATGTGACACAGGCTGGCCTTGAACCCACCACATAGGCAAGGCTGGCTTTGGACTTCTCTTGGTCCTGCCGGCTGCACCTCCTGAGTGCTGGGATGGCAGCCATGTTTCTCATGCCCGCTTCTCTCTTGCCCAGTCTCACCAACAGGATGCCTTTGTTCTGGGAGTTCAGACTCTGCCAGCCACCAAGCCCATTTCTACCCTTCCTGAAATGCAAGACAGGTTGGTGCCTACTCAGTCACAGGCCGTGCTGGGGGTAAAGCTGACCCACAGTTGGCCTTCCTAAAACCCTGGGAGGGTCCTGCAGCTCCAGGTCCCCCCTTGTGTTTATGCTGTTTCCTGTTTGTGTTTTCTGACCGCGTGCTAACCGTGAGCCGCCTTTCTCTTGAAGTTTGCATCTCACTCTGCGGAGGGTTTGAGCTGAGGAGAAACGTTTCCTGAAGCAATTTCTCAAACCTCTTTCCAAATATCCGTATTTATCATGGCAAGATGGAGTTGGGCTTCTCAAGATCAAAATGTCGGTCTTTAGTTTACCCTAATTCATGAGTCCTAAAAACTATCCCCTTCTCTGGCCTCCTAAGGCTCTAACTACAGTGTTAGCAACGGCTCTGTTGACACAAAACACTGCTCTTGTTCTTGGAGACAGTTTACTCTAGGCCAAACACAAGTGCCCATGGCCCAGGACACGGGTTCGGGTGATGAGACATGGCATGTTCTATGTGGAACAGGTTCTCGAACTTGGATAGTCACAGAACAAAGAAAGGAGCTTAGGAGCACACTGGGAGGGACGCCTGGTAGGTGGGTACAGCCAAGCTGGGGAATCTCTGCTGTGGGCGATCTTGGATACCAGAGGCTTTCTGATGGTTAGCCTTAGGCTTGGCTGGAGCCTGTGGTTTCCTAAGTTTAAACATTCTGGAAGATTTACCTGCCAACCACAAGATGTTAGGCCAGATTAGAAGTTGGTAGCTAATGGCTTTTAAGGACACTAAAGACAGACTAAGATAAATTTGCCTCGGGGCCTGCAACGTTCCAGCTCCCCAGAGTCTTCTGGCCTCTTAGCGGGAACACAGGGGCTTCAGCAGCTTCTCTAGAGAACTCAGGCCACAGCTTTCTGGGGGTATAGGTTCCACAAAAAAACAGAATATTTTTAAAGGTTTATTTATTTCTTTACTTTATGAGTGTTTTTGCCTCCATGTATGTCTGTGTGTGTACCTGGTACCCACAGAAGACAAAAGAGGGCATCAGATCCCTTAGAATAAAATTGCAGGTGGTTGAGAGTCACTATATGGGTGCTGAGAACCACACCTGATCCTTTGCAAAAGCAGTCGGGTGGTGGTGGGCCTGCCATTAATCCCAGCACTCGGGAGACAGAGGCAGGTGGATCTCTGTAGGTTTGAGGTCAGCCTGGTCTACAAGAGCTAGTTCCAGGACAGCCTCCAAAGCTACATAAAAACCCTGTCTTGCAAAGAGAGAGAGAGAGAGAGAGAGAGAGAGAGAGAGAGAGAGAGAGAGAGAGAGAGATCTCCAGTCTTCGAAGCCAGGTTTTGAAGGTAGTTCATCATCTGAGTATGGTGTCGCAGGCCCGTATAGACTCACACATGAGAAGCTGAGGTAGGAAGATGGAGTTGAAGTTCAGCCTAGCGTATGTGGTGAGTCCCTGTCAAAACAAGAAAAAAGAAAAAGGCCAGGTTTGGTGCCACACAAATTTAGTCCCAGTACTTGGGAGGCAAAGGCAAGCAGATCGCTATGAGTGAGTTCCAGGCCAGCCTGGCTTACATAGTGCGTTCAAGGCCAGCCAGAGCTACCCAGTGATACTGTCTCAAAGGAAAAAGAAAAAAGGACAGAGAAGGGCACACAAGTTCTTACCTGTGAGTCTCCTCGCTGTGGAGAGCCAGCACGGTAAGAATGTGACTTTGAAAACTTGACCTTTCTTTCTGCTTCGGCGGTCTGTGAAGACCTCAGGGGAGCTATTAGAATTCAGGTAGGAACTGAACTTCCCATCTGGGTACAGTTGAGAGATTAGGCCATTCAGTTCCTCACAGTAGACGGTCTGCCTCCTCAGTGCAGGGTGGGGTCGGGGGTGAGGGGGGGGCACAGGTGCTCGCTGGGCTGGGCTTCTTGCTTCACTGACTCCGGGAAGTGGGATTGCTTGTGGCTACCAGGGTAAGGACTGTTGCAAACCACAGAAGTAGGTCATGTGTGTATGTGTGTGTGTATGTATGTGCGTGTGTATATGTGTGTGTGCATGTGTGTGTCTGTATGTGCTTTGTGTGTATGTGTGTCTCTGTATGTGCGTGTGTGTATGTGCATGTGTGTTTGTGTATGTGCATGTGTGTGTCTGTGTGTGTGAGTGTGTATATGTGTTTGTATGTGCATTGTGTACGTGTGTGTGTGTGTGTGTGTGTGTGTGTGTGTGAAGGTCAGAAAACAACTTGCAGGCCTCGGTTCTCTTCTCCCACCCTGTGGGTCCCTCAGATCAAACCCAAGGTGTTAGGGTTGGAAACCAGGGCCTTTACAGTCTGAACCCCTAGGCTGGAGATCTCCTATCTTTGAAGGTTTCCCATGGAAGATGTGAAGGACAGAGCCTAGCACGGGTCATAGTAGGAACTAGAAATGAATTCCACTGAGACAGAGAACGGTGCGGAGAATCGCCTGTAGCCCAAGTCGACCTCTATGGTGCCCCCAAAGAGGGCATCAGATCTCCTGGGCCTAGAGTTACAGACGGTTGTGAGCTACCCACTGAGTGCTGGGAACTGAATTTGGGTTCTCTGCTACAGCTGGCCAGTGTCCTTAACCACCGAACCCCTGCTCCAGCCCTCTTTATCATAATCTGTGTCTGTTTATCCAGTGTCCTTAACCACCAGACCCCTGCTCCAGCCCTCTTTATCATAATCTGTGTCTTTCTGTTTATCCAGTGTCCTTAACCACCAGACCCCTGCTCCAGCCCTCTTTATCATAATCTGTGTCTTTCTGTTTATCTCACCTTCTTCTCATCCGGAACTGAAGTGCTTCTTCTTCATTATAGATCATCTTGACCAACTTCCTCTTCATAAGAGATCAGCCTGACCAGCTTCCTCTTCATAAGAGATCAGCCTGACCAGCTTCCTCTTCATAAGGGATCAGCCTGACCAACTTCCTCTTCATTATAGATCATCTTGACCAACTTCCTCTTCATAAGAGATCAGCTTGACCAACTTCCTCTTCATATAATAACTGGGGAAACTGCCCAGAGCAGGGAGCAAGCTGGAAAGATCCTGTGGTCTTAGGTGGATAAGGTGTATATGCGCCATAGTTTACATTGCTCCAGAGGGACAGAACTGCTGGTAATAATTGATAGCATTTAGCACCTTATATTTGGTTTGGGGTAGGTTCTTTTCATTCATTTGGTTTTTAAGATAGTCTCATGCACTCCAGGTTGGCCTCAAATTCATTTTGAGGATGACCTTGAACTCCTGATTCTCCCGTCTCCCCTCCCCGAGAGCAGGGTTAGTACTGTTTGGCTCCAATCCCAGTTTATTCTGTGCTGGGAAGTCAAACCCAGGTGTTTGGGCAAGCTAAGGAAACACCTAACCAACTGAGCAATAACCCCAGCCCTCCTTGTGTTTTGAGACGGGGTCTCACTTTGTAGTCCATGCTGGGCTTGAACTCCTGGTGATTCTCCTGCCGCAGCCTCCTGTAAGGCTGGGGTTATAGGTGTAGCTGCCACGTCCGCTCCAGTTTGTGTTCATCCCCCCCTGCCGCTTCCTAGCCTGAGTTCTGCCAACTCTGTCTCCAAGGCTTCGGACAACACCCGCCCCTGCCCACCGATCTCCTGGTCAGTGGCAAACTCCTTATAGAGCAGGCGCAGACTGAGGGCTGGTGTTTTCCTTCCTGAGACTGGACTTGGGTCAAAATCAACAGGAGCTCGATTCCCTGACGTGGCTCCATGTTTCCTTTCCTGAACTCTGTGTTTTGTGCTTAGTGTTCTTCCAGCAGTTCGAAGGTGTCTGACCTTCTGGGCGCGAAGATAAGTGCACTAAAGACCCACACAGGGAATGACTCACACGGGGGTGGATCCTGAAGCCAGGGGTCCCTGCTCTGCTTGTAGATGGAGTGAATTGGGGTATTTCTAGAAGGAGGCTTAAAGTCTCTCTCTCCCTCTCTCTCATTGCTCTCAAGCTGGCCCCAAACTTGGTGTGTACTTGAGGTGACCTTTAACTCCTGATTCTCCCGCCTCCGCTCTTTGGGTGCTGGGATTACAGGCACGAACCATCATACCTATTTTATGTGGTTCCGGGGATTAAACCCAGGGTCTTCTATACCAAAGGAGCCATGTACATCAAACCAGGCACAGCGATGCTTGCTCTAATCTCAGCATTGGAAAGGTAGAGGCAGAAGGATCAGGGTCATTCTCAGTTACGTAGTAAGTCTGAAGCCAGACGACAATATGTGAGACCTTGTCTCAAAGAAACCAAACAACTACCCAACATCAGTGAGCTATCTATTCTTGTCTGTTGGCCCGGCTATGGTCATTTCCAGAAAGGAATAGAAGTGTAGAGAAAAAGCCACACAATTGGTAGGTAGGGCTTGGGGCTGCAGGACATGAAATTCCAGGCCACGCTGAACCTCCCACAGCACCCTGTGTTCCTATCCAGTCTTCCGTCTACTGACTAACCTCACTCCGATGACTGTGTAGATAGGCTCAGCTCAGATGTGGGCTCTGACTCAGCTGTGACCACCCTGGGCTATAGGGACCCACAGCTAGGGAGGGGCTCTTAGTGGGCGTCTTTATTCCATTTCCAGCACAGTGCCTGGAACGCAGTGGCAGACAAAAGGGTGGGGGAGGATTGCAGGTTAGAGATAAAGGTGGTCGCACGGAGGTTTGGGGAAGGCTGTGATGTGCGGCTAAATCCATGGCCCTGAAAGTCCTCGGCAGGTGGCTGGGAGGCACCTTGGCATCGATTGTATAGAAACAGGTTACATCTGAAGACATGGTTCATCGGCTTAGCATCTCAACCTCGATAAATGACCCAGACTGTGCTCACGTTAATCTACTCAGGAGACTGGGTATCTCCTAGCATCCTTACACAAACAAAATTACACACCCCATTCTAACAGAGGGTTTTCCCTTTCATCTTTATTAACCAGCGTTTGCCTTGGGCCACTTTTGTCTCCTTCCTCACCAGAGGCCGTCCTCTGTCCCTCTGAGACACACATCCCTCCCTTCCTTCTCTCCCTTGTCCCTTCCCCTTCTCCCACATCCTCCATCTCCTGCCTTTCATCCCTAGGGGCAAATAAATCTCTTTCGTGCTAAGAACTTTGTGCTGAATACCTGTCCCTTCAAGTCACAGCTCACAGAAGCTGGGAACCTGGAGCTGTGGAGATGTGAGGAGAGTCTCCGGAGTTGGGGGGGGGGGAGCTCTAGGGGAAGAACAATGCTGGTGCCGCTGCAGCTGCTGTTGCACAGAGCCAGGACCCCCAAACACTACCGAGAGACCAGATCCAGTGCAAAAGCAAAGAGTCTTTTTTTTTTTTAATTATTATTTTAATTATAGTAGCATGCTGGGTCTGACCATCCTACACAAAGGCAAGACGGTGATGACCCCAAGGAGGTGGGGGCTTCTTTTAAGCGTTACTGAGGGGAGTGTCTAAGGAAGTTAGGTCATTTTAAATATGATCGGTTTAAGCAAGTGGAAATCAGCCAGGCGGTGGTGGCACACGCCTTTAATCCCAGCACTCGGATCTGTGTCAGTTCCAGACCAGCCTGATCTACAGAGCGAGTTCCAGGACAGGCTTCAAAGCTACGCAAAGAAACCCTGTCTCTCTGGGTGGTGGTGGCGCATGCCTTTAATCCCAGCACTCAGGAGGCAGAGGCAGGAGGATCTCTGTGAGTTCGAGGCCAGCCTGGTCTACAAGAGCTAGTTCCAGGACAGGCTCCAAAGCTACAGAGAAACTCTGTCTCGAAAAACCAAAAATTAAAATAAAAATTAAAAAAATTAAAAAAAAAAAAAGCAAGTGGAAATCGTATTAGTACATCTTAATTGGCTAGGGCTAGTCTGGGGTTTTCCATTTGGGGGCAGACCTGGACAAGCCCCAGGCTCTGTCCTTGAGCTGCTGTGGAGGCTGGCTCAGGCCTGGCCTGGCCTAGTACCAGGCACGCTCCTCCTTGCTGTTGGGGGTGTTAGAATTTGATTGTCCTTTATTCGTGGCTTTTCCTCAGAAACTGCTTGTTCAGTCTCAGGAAACTGAAACTGAGGCCTGATCTCTGAGAGAAGAAGAGCAGCATGTTGTAGCATCTGCTTGGTCCTGTCACTGCTCTGCCTGACGGGTGTAGCGCTTGCTCTTACACCAGGAACTGGATGGAGACTGAGAGGGGACACTTGGGAGCCCATCACAGGCTGAGCCAGTAAGCGGCCCAACTAGGAAAGATATCACGTCATTCTTACACACGCTTCCTTGGCCCAGCTAGGAAAGATCACGTCACTCATTGCTCCAGCCGGAGGAGAGGTCACAGGCACTGCCGAAGCGCTCACGGTCCACCACGTCCTCCACCGCCTAAGGGAGGCTAGTTTCTGACAGTGATTACAGGGATGACGGCAGAGCAGGTCTCAGAGGTGTCCCTTGCTGAGCACAAGGAAGATAAATTGTGTCAAAGAGCGACCGAGAACTGTCCGCAGAGCTGTATCCCGGGCAGAGATCACTGCGTGGACAGTTGTCTCTGGCTTCTCCCACAGTCTGCTGTTTTCTCCCACAGAGTGGGGGCTGTGCCGCTCCCTGGTAACAATGTGTGTGCCCCCCCCTCTTTTTTTGAAACAAGGTTTCTTTTTCTTTGTGGGCAGCTGTCCTAGAACTAGCTCTGTAGACCAGGCTGGTCTCAGAGTCACAGAGGTCCGCCTGCCCCTACCTCCCAGTGCGGGATTAAAGGCCACCATCGCCCTGCTCAGCTGTAGGTCTTGATTGGACTATTCCTGGTTCAGGCTTTACTGAAGCCGAGTCGACCCCTACCTGAGTGTCAGGTTTTACAATAAGGGGAGGTGAGAGTAGAAAGGAAGAGATGGATGAGTGTTCTTCCTGGGCCAGGGTCGGGGACTTGCTGCAGCAGGAGCCAGGTCAGGACCCGAGTTACTGGACTATGGAAAGGCAAAATGCTACCAAAGACTGAGAATCTTGTGGGGTTCCTTGCACCCTCTGGAGCCAATGTCCCTCCCTTAGGGTATCCACACCCCTCAGAATTCCTCCCTTTCACCTTCTCCATCTGCTGCTCCCCATTTCCTCCAAATATTTTCAATCTCAATCATCAACATTTTTCTTTCCATATTTTTCTTCTTTCCCCCCCTGTACCAGCAGTTTTCTCTCTTCCCTACCGTTTGTTCTCCAGGATTCCACTATGTAGTTGAGGTTGGCCTTAAACTGAAAAGCAATGCTCCAGCCCCGTGAGCCTCCCGAGCTGTGAGCACAGACACATGCCTCCATACCCAGCTCCTCTTTGCCGGTATCGCCTGCTTCCTGCTTCCACGCTCTCAGCCACGCCCTTGTTCTTCTTTTCTTTGCTTATTTTTCAATGTATTTTATTTTTATCTATGTGTGTATGTGCACATGCACGCAGATGTTTGAGAAAGCCGGAAGGGACTGTTGGATCCCCTGCAGCTGAAGCTATGGGCAGCTGGGTGCTGGGAATCAAGCTTGGGTCCTCTGTAGGAGAAATACACACTCTAAACCCCCAGCACCATCTCTCCAGCCCTTTCAACAGAGAAACTGGAGAGATGGCTCAGCGATGGAGAGCACTGGCTGCTCTTCCAGAGGACGCAGGTTCAGTCCCAGCCACCATGTGCTCACCGCCGTCCTTAACTCCAGTGCCAGGGATCTAACCCCTTCTCCTTCTGGCCCCACAGGCAAGAGGCACACAGCCATACCCAGAGGAAACACCCATACACATAAACAAACAACAACAAATCTCAGAGAAACCATCCAGAGCTCTGGCTGTTCGTCCTCGGGAGCAGCTCACTGCTGGTGACCAGTGACGCGGGGCTGGTCAGGAGCCCTCAGGTCAGGGTCCGCCTATGCTTCAGTACTATGTAAGGAAAGGGTGGGTCATCTCTGGGCTTGAACAGGGTTTTTTTTTTTTTTCTTCTAGAAGATAAAACCCATTTTCTACCCATCCCCATTTCTTTATCCAAATGTGGGCAAACATGGCTGGCAAAGGCCCTGTATGCAGAGATGCAGCCCTGGATGCCGGGAAGCTCCAGGTGTGGTGAGAAACCCTGTGTCAAAATCTAAGATGAAGAAGTGGTTGAGGAAGACACCTGGCAGTGACCTCTGGCCTCCATACACACAAGCGCAAGGTCCTGCCCACACATGTATGCCCACGGTCAGGAACACATACACGCAGCACACACAGACACACACAAAGGAAGGGGGAATGGCTGTCGGATCAGCTGCCCTCTCCAGCCCCCGCCCCCAGGCTCCCTTGCCTGCTCCAGAGTCACAGGGAGCTAACTCTCTCAGGGCCAAGGCTTTGCTGTCCACTTACTAACTTTTGGGGGGTGGTCACATAAACTTCCTTGAAGGAAACTTTGGTTACTTAACTCCACATTTCCTGTTTATTTATTGAGTTTCCAAGATGTAATTTGCATATAATTCAGGAACTGTGAGTGGTCTGAGTCCCCTGCACTTGCCAGCTGGCGTAAACGTTTGGAGGCTTCAGTTGGACGGGCTCCCTGCTGTGCGAGCCTGCTGTGGATCTGCACCCGCACTTCACAGAAAGGGCAGAGAGAGACTCTCCACACCCTTTCCTTCTTTCCCAAAGCCCATGCTCCCAACTAAAAATGCTTTCATGTTTCAAATATGTCCCAACAAATAACCCAGGTCACCAGGAGGGTTGGATCGGTTCCACCCTGCCCATGAACTCCAACAGAGTCTGATAAACAGGGCTGAATGCCCACCGGGAACTCAGCTTCTTAGTCAGGTCACGGGCTGCCTGCCCAGAGGAGGAAGAAGCCCCTCTTTCTAACTCACATAAAAGCATAAAAGAGGCTCCTTGCCAAGCGTGTGTGTGTGTGTGTGTGTGTGTGTGTGTGTGTGCCTGTGCCAACAGGAACACTGTGTGTCGTTGTCTCTGTCTGGAGCTTCACACATGGTAAGCCAAGTGTTCAACCACTGGCTACACCCTGCAGTCCAGCAGGGAGCAATGGGCCCCTCCTGTAATTCTCACACTGTGGAGTTGAGACGATTGCCACAAGTCATTGCCCTATATTTTTGTTTTGGTTGTGGATTTTTGAGACAGTCTCCTGTAACCCAGGCTGACCTCAAACTACTATCTAGGTAGGACTGGCCTTGGATGCCTGATCCTCCTGCCTTCAGCTCACAGTTGCTATAGTTACAAAGTTACCAGCCCAAAGGGAATTCTGAAGTAGGTAGGGCCACACAGCGAGAATGCAGGGAGTAGGAACAACCAAGGAGGCTGGCACCCCAGTGCTCTCTTGCTCTCAGGAGGTAAAGACTTGTCCTGAAAGCTGCTGCCTCTCAGAGGTGTCACCGGAGACTCCCCTTTTCTTCTTGCCTTTCCCCCCAGTGTCTCACAAGGCCCAGCTCTGCTGTCTGGTTTTGTCCACTTGACACAAGTTATAGACATTTGGGAAGAGGGCCTTGTTAAGAAAACACCTCTGTAAGACTGGCTTCTAGGTGAGTTTGTAGGCACTTGCCCTAATTAGTGATTAATGTGGGCAGACCCAGCTCCCTGGGGGAGAAACAAGCTCTGTCTTCCTATGAGACAGAAGTTCTCTGCTGAGGAGCTGTCACCTCAGGGAGATGGCCAGCTCCCCGGGCACTGTCTGGACTACAGAAGGGACACTGGGGACATTCCAGCCCGGTTCACAGCCGCTGCACAGATTGTCTCTGCAGGTGTCTGCCCTCGGTCTCCCTCATTTTAATTTTATGTGGGATGTGACCTTTTCTGACATTAGTAACAACTTGTCCTGTGTGCCTGAATCATACCTGGCAACCTGAGGTCTTAGGACGGGATGAAACAAATCTGTCTTAAAATACTTCCCAAATAGGGGCTGGAAGCCTCCCTTCGGGGTAGAGTACTGGTCTACTGAGCATGAGACCCTAGGTCCAATCTTTTGTACAGAAAACCAAAACTACAGGGTGCTATTCTGAGGAAATGGTTCAGTGGTTAAGAGCATGGACTGCTGCTATTGCAGAGGACCCAGGTTCAATTCTTAGCATCCATGTGGGGTAGTTTAAAACCACCTGTAACTCCAGTTCTGGGGGATCTGCCACCTCTGTCCAATACACACACACTCAAAAATGATAAAAGTAAATCCTTAAAACAAGGCAGCCAGTGCAGGCTGTGGCGGTTCATCTCTGTACTTTCAGCATTTGAGAATGGAGTAGGGAGGCTCAGAAGCTCAAGGTCACCCTGGGCTGTATAGACTGTTTTAGGCTGGCCTGGGCTGTATTAAACCCTGTTTCCAGGGGACTGGAGAGTTAACTCAGCGGCTAAGAGCACTAGCTGCTCTTCCCGAGGTCCTGTGTTCAGGTGGCTCCCGATCATCTGCATGAGATCTGGCGCCCTCTGCTGATGAGCATGAAGACAGAACACACACGAACATAAAATACATAAGTAAATCTTTAAAAAAAAAAAACACCTTTCTTCCATAAACAAACAAACAAGCAAACAAATAAAAAACAA